AGCAGCAGCAACAACAGCAGCAGGAATTCCCGCTGGGCCTGGATAAAGACGCCAGCGAGCATAGCATTTCCAGCATAATGTCGTGCGTGTCCATCTCACCGAAACACGCAGAAAGTAGCCTCCGGATTATGGAGAGTTATCTGCACAAGCAACAGCTGACAGACGTCACGCTGATCGCGGGTGAGTGTACCAGGGTCCCGAACGCTTTGTTTTGATAACAATGCACCTGTCGATGTGTCAACTGTCAATTAGAATTATGACTCAGATGATGATTAATCATACGTTTTAATTAATAAACGAGAATTATTAATGTATATTTTTATGTACAATTTGATGTATATTTTTATTTATAATTACGATTCATAGAAAAATTCTTTTTATTATTATTATAAGTTATTATTAGAACCTTTTTTTGCTGGATAATTTGCTATTGTTAACATTTCTAACTAGTAGAAATTGAAGAAAGATAGGAAGATACATTCTTTATATAACATATATATTAAAAATGTTCTTTGTGCTCGATATAATTCGAAGCATATATCCCATATTTTTCATATTTGTGTGATTTATTCTTTCTTTAGGAAATAAACGTGTCCCAGCTCATCGATTAGTCCTCAGTGCTGGCTCTGAATATTTTGCTGCCATGTTTACAAGCTCTTTACGAGAATCGGCACAAAATGAAATAGAATTAATGGATGTTGATGGAGATGCATTATGGGCTTTGGTTCTTTATTGTTACACAGGTAATCCGATTTGCAGATATTTTTCAAATTATTTTCGTTTATTTTTATTGACATATTTTTGTATATTCACAGGTTGTATAGAATTACAAGAGGATAGTGTAGAGACTCTTCTTGCAACGGCGTGTTTATTACAATTAAATCCGGTTATTAAAGCATGCTGTCAGTTTCTTGTCAAACAGCTCCATCCGAGCAACTGCCTGGGTATACGAATGTTTGCCGATACGCAGGGTTGTTCGGAATTATTTGAATACGCACACGCATACACTACAAAACATTTCATGGAAGTTACAAAAAATCAAGAATTCTTACTGTTATCTGCCAACGAAGTTGCGAAATTACTTGAATCAGAGGATCTTGATGTTCCCTCGGAAGAAACTATCTTTTATGTAAGATTAACTACATGTTGTATATAAATTATTTTTATGATGTAAATAAATGCAAAATAAACTACATGTCGAGCGAAAAAATTTAATAATTTAAAATGTTAAGAAAAAGAATATAGTTGAAATTTGTTATACTATTGATCGTATAATATTAACTACAATATATCTAAATTGAAGTATAGAGAATAATGGAGTCTCTATTATTATTATTTCAGGCTCTAGTGACTTGGCTGGAACATGATCCAGAAAACAGAAGCAAAGATGCTAGTACATTATTAGGTTTAGTCAAATTACCATTGCTATCACCCGCGGTGAGTTCACTGACAGCTAAATTTTTTACTTGACAGAATTATGCATTAGATCAACTAATAAATTAAAACAGTTTATAGCTGATAATATTGAGAGTAACGAAATGTTCAAAGACCAAAGAATGGCGCAGGAATTAGTAATGGAAGCATTAAAATATCATTTGCTGCCTGAGCGAAGACCTTTGCTTCAAACGGGTAGAACGAAACCTAGAAAAGCTACTGTGGGTACATTATTAGCTGTTGGAGGGATGGATGCCAATAAAGGTAATTTATTATATGCAAAATTAATTATTTAATATTGGTTGCCGTTAATTTAAAAAAAAAACATTAATACAGTATATCACGCTATTTTAATTTTCCCAAACGAAATAATACGCAATATAATGTCCAGGTGCAACGTCTATAGATGCGTTTTCATTGCGCGATAACGCCTGGACATATTTAGCTGCCATGAGTAGTAGAAGATTGCAATTTGGCGCGGTGATAGTCGATAAAAAATTGATTGTCGCGGGCGGTAGAGATGGTTTAAAAACACTGAACACTGTAGAATGCTTCGATTTCTCCACTCTTGCGTGGAGCACTCTACCACCTATGAACGTCCATCGTCACGGATTAGGTACATGCCGAATTTGCCAAGTTAATACGCAATTTCATTCATTTGTAATAAAAACCTGATAAATACATTAATTTTTTCTCAGGAGTAGCAGTATTAGGTGGACCTTTATATGCTGTTGGTGGCCACGATGGTTGGAGTTTTCTTGATGCGGTCGAGAGGTGGGATCCGGCAACGCGTCAGTGGAGTTCGATATGCCCTATGTCCATACAAAGGTCTACAGTCGGTGTGGCTGTGTTAAATGATAAGTAAGTCTGCAGATAAATTATCACATTTATATACAATATCCGTTTTCAGCCGTTTTTACATAAATTTTAGTATATTTTCATATGGTATACTTTATCGATTAAAAAAAATTTAATGTTGAATTTTTAATGATTTTAATGCAATCTTTTATAATCTTTTAGATTATATGCTGTAGGAGGAAGAGATATCAGTTCCTGCTTAAATACTGTAGAATGCTATGATCCACATACAAATAAGTGGACACCATGTGCGCCTATGTCGAAGAGGCGGGGCGGTGTAGGCGTAGGAGTAGTAAACGGTTGTCTTTATGCACTCGGTGGTCACGATGCTCCAGCTAGTAATCCGAATGCTAGTAGATTCGACTGTGTAGAAAGGTGAAGTCACTATTATGTCACATATTAAAATTTTCAAGTTACGTGTAATGCAATGTAACAATATAGGTATGATCCTAAAACTGATACATGGACTATGGTTGCGCCAATGAGTGTTCCTCGAGATGCGGTCGGTGTGTGCGTATTAGGTGACCGACTTATGGCCATAGGAGGATACGACGGTCAGCAATATCTCACACTAGTGGAAGCCTATGATCCACATCTCAACGAATGGGAACCTGTGAGTGTATAAACTATTCCTGTAATTGGATATAGTACAAAAATAATTTTTAAATGCATTTTGTAAATTTTATGTTTATGTTTAAAGGTTGCTCCTCTTAAGGCTGGCCGTGCAGGACCCTGTGTTGTTGTAAAACATTTAACTGTTACCATGTAGATCATTTTACTAAACAATCAGTAATTCTTGCTATTATGTAATTTATATTTGTAACTATATGTGATTTTAAGTGTTTCAGAAATATAACAGAATTTGCTCTCTTGTGATATCGTATACATATTAATTAATCAAACTGTCATTTTTCTGAAACAATTTTAGATAATTTCATATTTAAATAAGTATTATATTTCTTCTTATCATATAATAACTTTTATAGGATTTTTACATAATTTCGTACTGTACTGAGGAAATTCCAATCATTGTAACCATCAAACTATATATTTAGCATTTATTTGTACATACTTCGATTTTATATAAATTTTCAATGTAGCGAATAATTTTGTTATTGACAATGTGTGGTAATTTTTTTGTATCCATCATATTAATCTAAAATATAAGTACAAACATTTTCAATAAAATATATAAATCTAAACACGTTTTCTTTCATAAAAGTAACATTTTTCGTTTAATATTTTTCTGTATAATAATTTAATAATCATATAATAAATTGTCAAACCATTTTTTTAGAAATAAGTGATATAAATCAAGAGTGCTAGTGAGAAATTTGAAAAAATAAATATATTTCAGATACAAATACTTTAAGTAATTACAATATTTGTGCCAAATTATACTGATAACTTTGTAAAAATCATCGTTTAATAAACTTAAAAAAACTGATAAAAGAATATATAAGAACAAATTTATTTTTCTCATCAAGATAAATGTTTTTATTTACATATCAGGAGACGCGGTAGCGGCTCCCGTTAAGTATATTTTTGTAGTATGATATATGTTTCTATATTTGGCGATTATCTCTTGAAATAAATAAAATTATATCAATTAATTAAAAGAAAACATGACATTATTCCATATGTTTACATTACAACTGTTTAATTTTTTTCTTAACAAGCCGGAAAAGTCCTGAAACAATGATAACAACAAATTATGTATCTCACAAAATTAGAAACAAAAATCGTAAAGTCAAAAATATAAAAGCTATGCATGTCTTATCTTTCCTATCTAAAAAAAATCTTACACTATCGATGAGCTTGTAAATGTGAAGATAAAATGTACTTTAGCTTACCGTGGAAAATCCGACGCTGGCTCTGCAAACTTGTGCCTAACCATAAACGTAGCAATAGCTTCCGCTACCTTATCCGGGACATCTTCGTGAACAGCATGCCCACAAGCGGGTAATACTTGCATTTGGAATTTACCTATTTTTATGAAAAAAATAATTATTTTATTGAAAAATACTCAAAATTTGTGTCACACACACAACATCAGCGCATACTAATGACAGCACTGAAAATTATACCTTGCATTTGTCCTACAGTGAGTTCACGATCTAATCTATCAACTCCTGCTAACAACAACATTTTCGGTGCAGGAACATTCAAGAATGCCGTCGATAATCCCTTAAACCAGCCAAACCAATGCTGCTCCGTTTTTGCCAAATCTATTCTCCAGACATATTTTCTGTTAGTAGTAATAGCAGAAGACGCAGGTGGTGGTGGTGGCATATTGGATGACTCTTCCTCTTGGATAATATCATCTCGCGGTATAACTGGTTCTGGATTAGATTCACACTTGTTGTATTGGGTTGGCAATGAGTCAATATCATGAGTTGCTAATTTGCTAGTTTCAATGCTGAAATAGCACGTGTGTTGTATGACTCGATTTATTTTAATATCAATATGAAAGTATTACAAAAAAACCTAAGTATCCTTAAGAACTCACTAACTTCTTTATCTGCCCAGGAACCGAAACCTTTGCCGATTGTATATTACGAATTTGTCCACTACGAACGCTGAAAATATCAATTAAAGATTAATTTGATAAAATTTGTGTGTGTATATATATATATTAATGCATTAACATGATCTGAGAAATTAAATTATGAGAAATTATATAAGAACATATATGAGATTAAATTTATATATGTACAATAGAGAGAGAGAGAGAGAGAGAGAGAGAATTACATTATTTTCAAGTAAAAAATAAATAAATGATTTAAAGAACAACATATATATATATATATATATATATTTGTTACAATAACAATGAATGTATTAAAAGCATAAGAAAATACTAACCACCACTCTATAGCCTGAGATATGGTGCTAAAACTAGATGGCCGTGATCTCAAAAAACTCTGCATAGAAGCTAATGCATCCATTGCCGTACCTTCTACAACATCTATAACTCCTAATCCATATAAATTTGAAATCAATGGAGCTGCTCTTACAGCTACCGCACCACCCATGCTATGACCAACAAGAATTATTGGATCATCGTGCGCAATTACATCTATAACAGCTGCAACATCTCTGGTAATAAAAATAATACAATTTATTACAATGCAAAAAAAAAGGTTTCATAAAAATTTTATGCACAGTGGTTTATAAACCAAATAATATATAATAAATAAATAAAATTTTATAATAAATAAATAAACCAATATAGATATATACAATTATATGTATGTGTGTAACAAACTATTTTACATTCATAGAAAGTTTTTAACAAATTTATCATATTTATTCTTACTTGAAGATCAAAATACATAGATTTAAAAAGTACAATCAACCTTATTACAATAAAAAATATAAGCAAAATTACAAAAAAAAATGTACATTTTACTCACGATGCTAAAGTATCTGCAGACAAGTCATCATCATCTGTGGTATGAGTATCTCCGTGACCTCTAAGATCAATCGCCATAACTCTACATAATACCATCGTCATAATCGATTTCTAAAATTAATAATGTGTGTTAATCTCTTTCTCAGTGTGTTATTAGCAACTGCAAACGATACTCACTGTGAGTTCTGCCCATGTTAAACCACTATAACCACCACCATGCAATAAAATTAATAATGGTCCTTCAGTACCCTTAATATAAACATGAAAAGTATTCTGTCCCACTGGCACATCCTTGGAATGATCAAAGTACGGATCCCATCGTACTGGTTCGTAGTCTCTTCTTCGCTGAGCTCCTCTCGACTTACTAAGTCTTAAAAAAAAAAAAGACATTTTTGTATATGATATTGTAGCAACTTCCTTCAACTTATTCAGTAACTTATTAAAAATCCCACTTTCATACGATTTACAGGTCAACACAAACCTGGAGTTCAAAGCAGAGAAATTGATGGCCGATGGTGGTAATCTGGATTTCAAAACTGACTTTTGAAGGGCAGACATATTAACGTATCGCAGACGTCAGTGATACCGTCGTGTCGAGAACAATCTTCGCACTCGTGCTTTCTGTTGCAGTCATATATGCAAAAGAGAACACTCGGCAATGCTGGCCAATGCACGGTTGCACCCGTTGCACGGTTGCGCGTGCGAGGGAGATGACGGAGAAAAGAAGCGTGAGAAACGTATATGACGTTAACGGATCCACCGGCGAAAGGAACGTCGAGGACGCGAGACGCGAAACTCACACTATCGCACACCGATCACCGACGCAAAGTTGCAAACGGAGCGCAAATGGCGGAAACGGATTTTGCCTATTTTTTTTCCTTCTTTTCTTTCACTATTTCTCCTAAATGTTGCCCTTTGATCCTCTGGCTTTGATAATCAGATAATACTAATTTATTTTCGAGTATCACCGAGCTTTCTTGAATTACGTCAAACGTCGATAAATATTCGCGGAAAAATTGCAGCGCTATTTTTACGTGAGTTTTGGAACGCGTTAAAAATCCCGCGATTTTGGTACGATCCGAAACCCATCGAGAAGAGGCGTCATAACCTTTCGATTTGTGAGAAAAAAATGCAATTTCTAAAAAATTAATATGTAATTTCCATACATTTTAAAATGATTTTCTTGCTTATAAGATCTTAAAATTAATTAATTTCCGATTAATACTATTATTAGGCTATCGAAGTTTATTATTTAGAACAATTAATATCTACATTTTAATCAAAGTTTATTTTTTAGTGCAATTATAAATTTTAAAAGTCAATAAACTCGTATGTATATATATATTATAATGATTATTATAAATTAAGCTACGTATGTAACATACGTATAGTTTTAATATATATATATATATATATATATATATATACATATATAATATATGTATGTATGTACATAATATTATAAATTCTCAATTTCACTTTCTTGAAAAATTTCAATAAGAGTGTACGTGTCATATGTTCATTTGTTTGTCATATATATATAAATAGCCAGACACATATATTGAATATATATATGGATCCTATCGAATATTAAAAACATAATATAATTTTTATTGTTATATGCCGGAGTACAATAAAATAATTAAAGAGATATCTTTGTAAAATGTGGGCTGGGGAGATAAAGAAAGAAGTTGCAACTTTGATGGTTCATACATATCCATTATGTAAGGTAAATTCATTTCGTTTGTAACACATAACAAGTCAATTAGGGTATCTCAATTTTAATTATTACAGAAATTTTCTTTAGCACAGTGATATGCCAGAGGATATGAAGCAGGAAGCCATAGAAACCTGTGTCACCGCTGTGGAAAAATATTCAGAGAATTACGAGCATGCAGCTCGCATGATCAAAGATAATCTGGATAAAAAATTTGGCCCACCATTCCAAGTAGTTGTCGGGGAAGCTTATGCATGTGCAACTACATATCAAGAGAATTCGCTATTATATATGTTTATTGGAGGTAACATAGCAGTTCTTGTATGGAGGACGGTTACAGGTTTTTGATAAATTTTACATGCAAAAGATAAATATGTACTTTCAAATACTGTCATGTATATGAATTTTCTAAATATATGTTATGTATTATTATTATCTTCTTACAAACAAGTACTTTTAATGTTGAATCTTATATATTCTTACACATACTGTCATATATTAAACTGTTTTCTAAATAAAAATAAATAATTTAAATATAATTTGTACCAGAAAGTATTTCTATATATTAATTGTTATATTTTATATGATACATCTTAATCAGATTAACATCATTGGTTTTGTGTTTCCAATATGTTTAATTATGAGTATAAAATATTTGACTTAAACACACAGTTGGACCCACACTGAGATATTACAGTTAAATATTCTTTCTCTTTTCTTGTAACAGTTTATCTTACATATGCTTCACAAATTCATATGAAAGTACTTTTATACATACATTCAAGCACATATATATATGCATTATATAAACACATAAATACACATAAATACATAAAATAAATTATAATAAGTGTCGAAACTGTACTATGCAGATTTCCAAATGCATATTGCCAAATTTCCGGCACAATACATATACAGAAGGTGCTTCAATTGATAAGTTATTTCAAAACCGTAGCCTTCTCCAACAACAGTGTGCCATGATGCACCGAATTTTTTATCCATTGTCTCCTTAATCATTCGAGATACGCTTTCATAATTGTCTGCATATTTTTCTGCTGCTGTCACACATAATTCCATCGCCTCTTGTTTCATTTCATCGGACATATCACATTTCTGTAAATAAATATTATTTAAAAAATTGTATATTAAAGACATTTATATTACCAAAAGATTTCCAGTAATTTATCTAACTCATATATATATATATATATGTATATATATATATATATATACATGTATATATATTTGGTTCTAGCTGGATAATTTTTGCAATGACAATATTATAATTTCTCCAAATTTTTATAAATTTTAAGTAACACATAATAATATCTAAAATAATTTTTAGATATTCATATTTTTATGTATTATGAAATCAAATTGGATAAGAAATTTATATTCATTCAAAATCAAATAAAATGCGCGTAATTTTGATTTTAAATCAGAAGTGTCGATTCAATAATTGCGATACGTATGCTTCTCGTACGTATTGATTAAACGTCATATTTTACATCTATTTACGCAGTGAAAGCTATACAACAAATTATAATAAAATGCGGCATACATTTTACTTACTCTACAAAACGGATAAGTGTGAAGAATTTTTACAACGTCATCCTTCCTCACTTCGGTCATTATTGCAATTTTATAAGCAAATCGCGCCTCTAACAATGCTAACACGGGTACTCTATACAGTGGCACGGTTGCAGTGTCCCAGGCGCAGGTCAGTGAGTCAGAGGAGCACATTGTCACCATCACAAATTATCCGTCAACGAAGACATTTATATTGACATTTGTGTTGCACTAATTTAATGAAAATATTTCTTATATCTTGGATACAGGCATGTTTTTTTATCATTATTTTTAGTTTTAGCACGTAGTTGAATTGCGATACAGACACTTTATTTACATATAGGATTACAGAAATTTTGAAATTTAGTGAGTCACTTATGTTTCAAGAGTAGTAAAGAGGTTAATATCTCAATTCGACATCAATATTTATTAGCCAACGTTGGGAAGCTTTGTTTATTTTTTACTGTATTCATCTTCACGATGAACTCTAATTTATAAAAAATAATCTACAATTGTATAAACAGTTTTAATAATCTTGAAAAATAAGCATTTATTTAATTGAAACATTGTCTTTGTAAAAGGAAAAAAGATATTTTGTGTGTGTGTGTGTAAGTTTCTTTTATATAAATTGCACGTTTACAGAAAATATTTAGGAAAAAAGTAAAATTTAGAAAAAATGGCATCAAGATTCAGTGGAGCGTTGCAGATTACAAATCTGGATGATTTCATTACTCCATCGCAGGTATAATGATCAATATCATTCTGTATTGGATCTAATTTTCATGCACTACTTTAAATTACATTTGTTACAGGAATGCATTAAACCCATAGAAATGCAAGCAAACAAAAGTAAAACAGGTGCAAAGATAAAAATACAATCAGATAATGCCCTTTTGGCACTCAATGAAGTAAATATATACAACATTTATTTTGTCAAAGTATAATTCTAGCATAAAACTTTCCATTAAAGTTTGTTTTATTACACAGATTGAACAACCAGAAAAATTACAAAAAGTTGAGATCACACTTACAGACTGTTTAGCATGTAGTGGTTGTATTACATCTGCTGAAAGTGTGCTCATTACTCAACAAAGTCGAGAAGAGTTGCTTAGGGTGTTTCAAGAGAAAGTAGCTCAACAGGTAAAGAATAAATGTTACTACAATGTATAAATATTTTATAAAGTTTTCTAATTTATATACAAAAGTAAAGAGATTTTATATATTAAACAAAATATCAAGTATTTAAATATCTATAGCAATATATAAAAATATACAGTATTAATTGCTGGTTCTTTTATAAATGTAAACTTTAGATTTATACTTACAATATTTATCTTGGAATGAGATATACAAAATTATTAAGATTCTTAATTTATTTCATTTTTTTAATGTTGTTTTAAATATAATATCATTTATGCTTTTGTAGAATGTAGGAAGCACAGATTCTAAATATATAATAGTAAGTCTATCAGTGCAACCAGTGTTGTCACTGGCACAACACTATGAACTTACCCCTGAGCAAACTCTCCATAAACTGGCAGGATTTTTCTATCGATTAGGAGCTGATGCAGTATTGGATATGACAGTGGCTGACGATTTTGTCTTATTAGAAGCTGCCAAAGAGTTTGTCGAACGTTATAAGGCCAGTAAAGAGGGCATGAAAAATCAGTTACCAATGTTGTCTTCTTCATGTCCAGGTAAAATATTTATTTATGAAAAAAACAGATATTGATCAATTTATGAAATTTATAATATATTTTTATTTCTAATAGGTTGGGTATGTTATGCTGAGAAAACTCATGGAAATTTTATATTGCCATATATAAGTGTCACAAAATCACCTCAACAAATTATGGGATCATTAGTAAAGTACCACTTAGCTGAAGTTATGAATCTGTCGCCAGAACAGATATACCATGTAACTGTAATGCCCTGCTATGATAAGAAGTTGGAAGCTTCAAGAGAAGATTTTTACAATCAACAAAGAAAGACAAGTGACGTAGACTGTGTCATAACATCAAGTATATTTATTCATATTTCTGCATTAAATTTAGAATTACTAAAATTTAAGTATAAATTATATCAACTTTTGGTCTTTCAGTTGAATTGGAACAGATGCTAAGTGAAGATGGTTTAGTATTAAATGAAATAGACGAAGGTGAAATTAAACAACCATTCGGTTCTTGCAATGAAGAAATTGGAAATAAGTTGTGGAGTCATAGTGGCTCAGGATCAGGTGGTTACGCAGATTTCATTTTTCGTTACGCAGCAAAGAATCTTTTTGACGAGGACAATGTCACAGTGGATTTCAAAAATCTTAGAAATCCTGATTTTCAAGAGGCAGAATTGAAAAGAAATGATCAAGTGTTATTAAAGTTCGCTATTATTAATGGATTCCGAAATATACAGAACATAGTTCAGAAAATGAAAAGGAGCAAATGCGTTTATGACTATGTTGAAATTATGGCATGTCCGTGTGGTAATTATTGGTTTGCTTAAAATGTTTTAGCATACAACACAAGTAACTAAACTTAATATAATTATTATTATTAGGTTGCTTAAACGGCGGAGCACAAATAAGACCCGACGGGAACGTTCAACCTCGAGAACTTGCATTGACATTAGAAAATATGTATCGTAAACTTCCGTTAAGCAAACCCGAAGAAAATAAAATGGTACAGAATCTATATAAAACTTGGCTGGGAGGAGAGCATACAGACAAAGTTAACGCATATTTCAATACGCAGTATCACGAAATAGAGAAAATGAATACAGCACTTGCAATAAAGTGGTGATCTAACATATATTATAACCATGTTATATATTATTACGTGTATAATATGTATGCATATTTGTATAGAAGTTCATTGGCTGATTTTTATTTATGCAGTACAATAATAAAAATAAATAATTTCTAATTATTTGATGCTTACTTAAAGCCATAACTTAAATATATGCCATGTGATATAAATAAATTTTACGCTCTTATATAATATAAATAATAATGTGTACTCTTAATACCATCTTATATATACAGGATTAAAATTACATTATAAAAGAAATTGCAAGTCTATTTATTGTGTAAAAGTTATGATTGTACCTAAAATGTATCATAACAATTTCATATTACAAGTGTGTTTATTTATACAAGCTTTTTAAAACGACAGAGATATGATTATCACATATAAATAATATCACGATATACACATACAAGTAGCTGTTGTTTAAATACAAGTTCTTTTCTTATATACGTTAACTTTTAATAAAGCAATATATTTTCATTTTGAATACAACACTATATATATCTTACATATGTTATTTCTTAAAATGCGTTGTTACGCATGCGTCATAAATAGTACGAAATGTACATAATATATGAATAACTATTCTCAAATAAAATAAAAATAAATAGATAAAAATATCACATTTGTGTTAACACATAAATACGATTGAAAATATTGCAAAACATGCTCAATGAAACATTATTACGTGTAATTCCCATTATCTGCTTTATTTTTCTCTGTGTATCTTCCTGTCTCTGTTTTTATATAATTCCAAGTCTTTTCTTGCAATAATTATAATTACCCCTCCTTAAATTAGCAACAAGGGAATGAATAAATACATAATTGAGTGGAGCATGATGCATGTGGCCCCAATTATCTAGAATTTTTGTTATCTAGGAATTCCTCATTTTCATTCATTTCTTTAGATTCAGATTTTTTCAAATCTATATCTGGGTATCCATCCTCGATATACCGAATGGAATCATGATCCATGTTATTGTCATCTTGATTTTCACATGTATCTATTAACCATCCTTGATTGCTATCAATTTCTCTAGTAACAACAAGGAATAGTTCCTTTTCCTTGCTATCTATCTGATCCTTTAGATATATGAGTAAATCGTTGTCCTGATATAAAAAAAATATAGTTAATATTGCAAAATATATGAAAATGTTTATAATTTTTAGCATTTTATTTAATTATATTATTTAATAACCTTTCCTATTAATTGCGGCGAGTCCAGTTTTGAATCAAGATTATAAAAGGCACCATGTATCTTTTTCAGAGCGATCCAATGACGTCGTTTTAACGGAAGTAGCACAAAACCTAGTTTGTATTCAGTTGGGACATTAAGTATAAAACCCTCAATGTTGTCTAAACAAAGACACTTTGGATCTCTAAGACAGAAGGAATAATTCATGATGTTTACAATCGTAATTTACATGGTCATATTCTTACAATATCAATGACTGTACGAACCTACGTTTGTCGAACCATACAGCTTCGCGTCCTCTTCTTTGGAGAGCAGCCATAATAACATTAATATCATAGTTGCCAAGTCCTAATAGAGATTTATGAGGATTGATCCACACATCTGGACTTAGACTGTAACAAATTTGATCTAATTCTTGCTTGCTAAATCCACGCTCTTGAAACAAGTTGTTTAACGCATGTAATGCACACAGCTCCTTCACCTACAATTCAATTTGTAATTTTATATAAGTATATAACAAAGTAAGTAAAAAGACTTTTTTCAAATATTGTAAAAATATTTTTAAACATCAATAATCCATTCATATTGTGTATGGTGTGATGAGTTTTCTACACAATATAAATGCGATATAAAAACAATTTACGAAAGAATGTAATAACATTAACAAAATACTTGTCGTTCATGATATATAGATCCAGTCATATCAATCGTTGTGCTCGCAACCATTGCAACTACATAGTTTTCCCACCGTCTAAAAGCATATATTAATCCGCCGGTGCTTTTTAAAAGAACCTTTAAAAAATGTATTCAATAGTGTTCAACAACGAAAGACCATCAGCAAACCACAGGACTTGAATCATCAACGGCACTTTAATAACTCACGACTATTCAACTATCATAATGATTAAAGCACGCCAAAAATACATTACATGTCATTTGGATTTGGCAAAAAGCACACAATAATCATTGAAAAGCAGTGGTCACAAACTCTCAAAACGCTCGATCGGCTCGATTGATACAACCACAGGCCACAGTCGTAGTTAGTGAAAGCACACTAAAGTGCAGAACAGTGTAGAAGCAATGGATCAATTCCAAACTGTTCCACAAACCGATACGCGTACCCCTTCAACTTGGTCGTGTTCCAATACAGGCTGGGTACAGGGTACTTCCCAATTGCTTAACACACCTTGACACAAACGTAGCAAATTAATTCATTCATATTTTCAACGTTAATAAATAAATATAACTCTTTTAGTTATATATTTTTTGTTGTCGTGATAACCTCATAACCTTAAAAGAATTAAATTATTTATTAACACTAAAAATATGAAAACCGATTTGCACTCAATTGCACCAATGGTCGCGTTCAGCAGACTCAACTGTGTGGAGCAGATCCGTGAGCACTCGCTGCTATTGGTGTATTCTTCTAGATCGTCCAATAGCAGCGAGCGCTCGCGTATCCGCTCCACAACAGTTGAGTCTGCTGAACGAGACCAATGTCGTAATCGTCGATACAACATTATGCTGGATTTAAGGCCATTCTAAATTGGTCGTATCGTAGACGTCGCAAGTCACAAGTTTGTTGCTTAAGTCAATCCGATGCTTCAATTTTAAAGTCGTATGATGCTTACGACGCTTACGACGCTATGATACGACCAATGTAGAATGCTAGATTCACACTGCATCCGATTTGCGTCGTACGACGCTCCGCAACCAATCAGAAAACAGGATTCCGATGATACGAAGCAAAATCCACCGGAATCCTGTTTTCCGATTGGTTGCAGAACGTCGTACGACGCAAATCGGATGCAGTGTGAATCTAGCAAAAGTGCATAATACATAGTGCATAATGGAATCAACCAATCGAAATTCTTCTTTTCCATGGAATGAGAGGAAAGGAAAGCTTCTGATTAGTTGATTCGCTTATGCACTATGCGTTATGCGTTATGCAAAAGCTTGTGTCTGGGCCCTAAAGCGGAGAGCATAGACTCTTGCATAACGCATAATACATGAGGCATAAGAAATTGAACCAATCAGAGTTCTCTATTACATGGAAGGGAAAGAAACGGAGAACTTCGATTGGTACATATTCTTACGTGATATGCGCTATGCAAGAGTCTGTGCTCCCCGCTTAATGGTACGTTTCCACTGAGCGCGTCATGCCTCCGGCAAACCAGCGCGATGTTCGTAGCGCGCGACACGCGATATCCAATGAGTGTACAGCTTTACCGATGTTCTCATTCTAAAGGTATACTCTCATTGGATATCG